CAAATACATCCATGCTGGCACAAGGCCACATCCACACCAACCACACTTTAAAGAGGTATAACTGTCATGGCTTTCCCCCACAGCATCCTGGGAGACAGGTGCTGAGAGTTGTGTGGAGACCCATGTTCCCCTCACAGAGCTACAATTCCCAGAGTTCCCTGCAAAGAGGGATGAATTCATCATCATCATCATTTTTAATTTCTATCTTACAATATTCAAGGCGGTTTACAAGCTGAAGAAACAAAAAATGTACATCTTATAACAATCTAATGCAATACAAAAATGTGATAATAAAACATCACTTTAAAATAGGCAACCTCCTTCAAAAAAGTATCATTCAACAATCATTAGAATAGTATAAAATAATATCAACATATAAAAGTTAAACAGAAATCCACTCAACAGTTACAATAATATCTAAGCCATAATCAATAAAACAACGGCAAGCCACAGTACATAAAACAATACAATACACATTGAGAAGCAGAGGGTGGAGCAAGGCAGGTGGAAGGAGGCCTTGCCTGGTGGAGTCTCTCCCCTCACAGAATTGTTAAACTACTGTGGGGAATTATAGCTCTGGGATCTAAGTGTCTAGGAAGCTGCCTTATCAGCAGGCCAGATCAGTGACCCATCTAGCCCAATATTTGCTATACTGACTAGCAGCTAATCTCTAGACTTTCAAGACAAGGTTACCTCATTCCATCAGGGACTTTCCACATGCAAACCCAGATGCTGCACAATCCTTTTCCTGTCTCAGCCGGCTGGTGGCCCTCTCGATGCCAGTGAATTGGTGCTGTAGAGTTCACTCCTGCAAGTGGTAGTTACGGCCACCAACTTGGATGGCTTTAAAAGAGGACCTGGACAAATTCACTGACAGATTCACGGAGGATGAATCTGTCAGTGGCTACCAGCCACAATGGTCATGCTCTGCCTTCATGGTCGGGGGCAGTAATGCTTGTGAATACAGTGGTACCTCGGGTTACATACGCTTCAGGTTACATATGCTTCAGGTTACAGACTCCGCTAACCCAGAAATAGTGCTTCAGGTTAAGAACTTTGCTTCAGGATGAGAACAGAAATTGTGCTCCAGCTTGCCAACATCCTTCTTAAACTGTGGTGCCCAGAACTGAACACAGTACTCTAGGTGTGGTCTGACTAAGGCACAATAGAATACTACTATTACTTCCCTTGATCTGGACACTTAACTTCTGTTGATACATCCTAGAATAGTGCTCATTAACTTTTTTTGCTGCTGCATCAAACCCGTCTCCTCGCTTTGTCCTGGGGCAGGCGCTCACCAGCATAAAAAACGAGGTTGCTGCTGGCGAGCACATTTCTGGTCTCTTGTGCAAGGGTTCTTGAGAATTTCCAACATTTCTTTGCACTGGAATGGGTGGAATAGCTTTGAATGGAGCGCGTGGGAGGCTTTATTGGCCCGATGAAAACCTGCGCACATGCCAAAAGCTGTGAATGAACAGTTAACATGCCAGTGCGGGGGGAGAAGCATGTGTTCAAGGGCCCTCTGTGAGGCATTCGTGGACAAATTGCAGAAGGGCGCAATATGGTTTTGATCCGTTTTGAAAAATGGCAGCGGGTGCGTGCCAGGTTTTTTTCTAGGGCCGTCTGCGTAATGGTGAGGGTGATTATTATCCAGGCGCTGTTCTGTATTATCCAAGTGGGGAGGATGGAATGACATAGAAACCGTGAACACCTAGCTGTTTCCAGCAACAGGGGTGGGGGCAGGGGGCTTACATTGAAATAATGCCAGGCGAGCAACCAGGTTGCTGCATTTCAGGGTATGAAAGAGAATAATTCCCCATCTTGCTGGGAGCTGACAGCTGTGCTACAGCTGTAATCCTGCTCTGATTGACCTCCGTGCTTAGAGACTGCCTACCTCGGAGTGCCAGATGCCGAGGGCAAGCAGCAGAGGAGGCCCCATCTCCCTGGAAGCTGCTGGGTGCAGAGAAAAACATTGGACTGGATGGGACCTTTTGGCCTAGTCCAGCAGGGTTGTCTTCTTATAAGCCCCGAGAGAGAGTGCCTAGAACAGGAGTGGGGATCCTCAAGCCCTGGGGGGCTGAATGTGGCCCTCCAGGCATTTCTGCCTGGCCCTCAGAACTCCCCCTGGGCCAGGCAGAGGTTTGTTCCAGCTCTGCCTGGAGATGTAGTGGATTGAACCTTGGACCTTCTGAATGTGAAGCAGATAGCCCAGTTGGTTAGAGCATGGTGCTGATAATGCCAAGGTTGCAGGTTCAATTCCCATTTAGGACAGCTGCATATTCCTGCATTGCAGGGGGTTGGACTAGATGATCCTCAGGGTCCCTTTGAACTCTACAATTCCTTCCTTCCTTCCTTCCTTCCTTCCTTCCTTCCTTCCTTCCTTCCTTCCTTCCTTCCTTCTTGTAGCTGAGCCCACTCTTTTGAGCTAAGACACTTTTCTGATAAGTAAACTGGGAAGTCCCATCGCCTTTGCTGAAATGCCTCTTTCTGGAGGCGTGCTAAATTCACGTCCAGCGGTGAACAATACAAAGCAAAAGTTGTTCGTGCAAGTGAGCACTCGGAGCAGGATGCAAAAGAGACACGGGTGAACCAGTTTTGTTCCTCTGCGAGCTTGTAATAACCCGCTCCTCGGCACCTTGGAGATGTTCACTTAATTGAATTCAGTCTGCCGTCAGCTTAACGTCCCTTTGCTTAGTTGTTAATGAGGCTGGTACTAAGGCTCCTTGGCTCCTTCCCCAGCTTGCAGCAGGAAAGCTCCAAAGGCTTGCATGGAAATGTTCAATTTGCTTGGGCTATTCCTTGAAATCCATTCAAAAGGCAAAGCATCTGCAAGGCAGATGAACATTGGGCCTGCAGAGAAGTAGCCACTTTGAAACATAACAGAAGTGGTTTGGGGTTTTTTTTGGGGTTTTTTTAAGGACCTCTCCAGATGTCTTTTATTGTGCATTCATGATTATTTGTGATCACAATGGTTTGGGGGCAGGTATATGCAATCCCACTTTGTTCCTGCAAAAGCTTTGAAGCAGTCATGCTGCCTTTATTTCCAATTGGTGCCTTTTGCATAACTTCCTGCTGAAGCACTGTAAATTTATATGAAGAAGAAGAGGAGTTGGATTTGATATCCCGCTTTATCACTACCTGAAGGAGTCTCAAAGCGGCTAACATTCTCCTTTCCCTTCCTCCCCCACAACAAACACTCTGTGAGGTGAGTGGGGCTGAGAGACTTCAGAAAAGTGTGACGAGCCGAAGGTCACCCAGCAGCTGCATGTGGAGGAGCGGGGAAGCGAACCCGGTTCCCCAGATTCATAGAATCATAGAGTTGGAATAGACCACAAGGGCTATCGAGTCCAACCCCCTGCCAGGCAGGAAACACCATCAGAGCACTCCTGACATATGGTTGTCAAGCCTCTGCTTAAAGACCTCCAAAGAAGGAGACTCCACCACACTCCTTGGCAGCAAATTCCACTGTCGAACAGCTCTTACTGTCAGGAAGTTCTTCCAAATGTTTAGGTGGAATCTTCTTTCTTGTAGTTTGGATCCATTGCTCCGTGTCCGCTTCTCTGGAGCAGCAGAAAACAACCTTTCTCCCTCCTCTATATGACATCCTTTTATATATTTGAACATGGCTATCATATCACCCCTTAACCTCCTCTTCTCCAGGCTAAACATGCCCAGCTCCCTTAGCCGTTCCTCATAAGGCATCGTTTCCAGGCCTTTGACCATTTTGGTTGCCCTCCTCTGGACACGTTCCAGTTTGTCAGTGTCCTTCTTGAACTGTGGTGCGAGATTACGAGACTACCGCTCTTAACCACTACACCACACTGGCTCTCACCACAGATGTTCTGCTTTCATGGTGCTATAGCGGAGGAGTGACCCTCCCGATGGCAAAAATGTGGTAACATCAGGGAATCATCACAGAACAACTAATAAAGTTGAATGATGTGTGGATGGTCCAGTATATTGGTGGTCCAGTATATTGGTGGTCTACCACCAATGCACTGTTATTGCATCAATGACGTGATGCAGAATACTTGTGGCAAGAAAACAAGAACCCTTTAGCCTGTAGGTATTTGGGGCAATGTGTTTTTAAAAGCCACACCACTGTGGGGCAGCCTCCCATGCTCAACCCAACTTTCTCACTTGGTGACCAAGCCACTTGGTTAAGAACATATGAAGCAGGAGAAAAGCCACACCCACCCAAGGCCTAGTCTCTGAAGCGCCTAGGCTCTGTGTAAAAACTGGACTGGAACTGTTCCATGCTCTGCTAATCTGGAACACATAAAACCTGGTCTGGATTCCCTTAACATTGCAACCACCACCACCTCCCAGAATAAGGGCCACACCAGGAGTGTTTGTTCGAGGAGGATCTCAGGTATACTCATGCAATGCCAGTGGCATCGAATTTGCCCTCCAGTGGCGCTCCCCCCCCCCCGAGGATTCTGGGTTGTTTTAGAGGGTCCCAGCTGGAACTGCCTGTGGTTTCTTTATTTTCTGGCTAGTGGAGCAGGGAGCTGGTGCTTAATCTATGAGGCTCCCTGCTCAAGACCCACTGAGCAGAAGGGCCCTGTGGATTATGCCCCATGGGTCAGACCTCTCTGTGGATCCTTTGACAACCTTTGACAAATCGTTTTCTAGTTACTGCCAACACGTGATAAAACGAAGCTCTCTAATATTTCCTGAGTACGGCAGGTATGAAGAAATTGTGATGGCATATTTACAAGATGTAATAATTGTGCTTGGAACGCTTTGCTCTTAATATTAATCGCCAGTCTGCAAACCGTCACTGCCCTGCAACACCCCCACATAGGTTTCCCACAATTTGAAATAGCAATATGCACCCTGAATTCCCACTGAAAGTCGTTGGGGAAGGTTTGTCTACATAGTTTTGTTGGTGGGGGTCTTTTTTTTTTTGCCGCTTTACTTTCCTTGCGAAACATTCCCCCACAACCGTTCAGCAAACTAAGGAATGACATAGCACTAACACAAGCATTTTCTTACAGGTTGCTATGGTTCCCCTACTCTCGGTCTGAAAAGGCAATGAAAGAATCTCCCTCTCTTGGTAACAAGTAGCTTTCCTGGACTCACTGGAGAATGAGATGGTGGTGCTGCCCCTGTGAATTATCCCGGTAAGCCTTCTATGTATTCCAAAACAGTTCAGCTGAAAACACAAGGTTCCCCCCCCCCAATAAACTCATTTTATAAGAAGAGTTCTACGTTGAAAGGCCATAACCAAAACAATAATTTAATTGAAAAATCTGCTGGATTATACAGTCTTCAGTAAGCACCAGAAGTTCTGGCCTCAGCTGCATGACATTGGACCCACAATGGCCCCTGGTGGCTATGAGCTGTGCATCTGAGCTGTGGGGGGAAGAGTATAGGCAGCTGGTGCAAGCTTTTGAGCAGCACGGTTAGGGGCTGGCTGCGCTCTGCCCCCAACAGCAGCCTCCAGGGCAGGGCAAAAAGGACCAGTTAGGAAAGCCTCCCTTTTCTGGAATCAAAGAAGAACCCTGCTAGATGAGACCAGAGGTCTCTCTAGACCAGTGTTTATCATTTGCAAGGTTTTCCTTTTTCATGACAGTTCACCAGCATTTCAATGCTACATTCTACCTGGCCCTCAGAACTCTCCCCAGCCCTCACCACTCACTCGCCCTGCTTCACACCCCTGCAGTTCCCTACCTGTAGTGCAGTGCTTTCCAAACTTGGGTCTCTAGCTGTTGTTGGACTACAACTCCCATGATTCCTGACCACAAGTCCTGCAAGCTAGGGATGATGGGAATTGTAGTCCAACAATAGCTGGGGACCCAAGTTTTGCAGGGAGTCCCATAGTGGGCGGAATTGGAGCAGACGACAGGCAAAGCTGACTCATTCTCCTTTTGTCCCCATCCTCTTCCCCATTGCCTAGTTCTGCAAGGGCAACACAGACTACTGTATAAGGAGGAGGCAGTTGGAAGGCAGGGCCACCTCCTGGACTGGATGTAAGAAGTCGGGCAGACAGGTGGAGGCTGAGTTCAGACTGAGGTTAGTGGGGCAGCACCCCACTCGTCCTACCAGACCAGCCTCCCGTGTTTCCAAGAATAATTCAGAGCGTTAAAAGGCTGCAGTTTTATCGCTGACATGAATCGGTTAGTACAAGAACAGAACATCTGTGCATAATATGTGTGCGTGATAAGAGAATTGTTAACGCATGGGTAAATTTTGCAGCTTATTGCTTTGCCTAATGGTGTTAAGTCTGCCTGCACACTGTCTCGCTAAGAGGTTCTAATGACATTTCTTTTTCCTTTGCGTACATATACACACACACACACTATTAATATGGTTCTATTATCTCGTTGGCTTTTGAAATCTTCCGCCTGCCACGTAATGGAAATGAGATAATGTGATGGAACGCTCCCCCCCCCAAAAAAAACCCCTGCCCAATTCATTCCTGATGTAATTTCATCCATCAGTGGAGTCTGTACCAGAAATAAATGATATTTTCTTTCTGTGTTTTCAAAGGGGGAAAAGGCAATACTAATAATTGAATTGGTGGTGCTTTCTGCTCTTGTGGATTTGAGGTATTTAACAGCAAAGCAAAATACTATGGGTTGCGTCTAGTGTTAAGTCATGCTCAGAGTTAGACCAGTTGAAAATAATGGGCATATTTAACACAGGTCCATTGGGCAGTATCCAGCAAACGCGTCCTTTCAGCTCAAGGATTTCTACTTTTGCTGCCTATTCTTCCCCATGCATGCCCCGTCCCCTTAGTGCTACGTTGAGTAAAACCCACCAACTTCAGTGGGTCAGCTCGGAATAGAACTTTCTTGAATACAACCCTATGAGGCACATTTCTGCAACATGTCTTGATGTATTCTTTTCCTATCCATTTTGTTCCGTGTGCTTTATATATTTTCTTTTTAACACTGAAATCAACACAACCAACATAGCAAAAAGAGAGTTGTTTAATTTTCCTGCTATGCAACTGTGGACACATTTATTCATTTATTTTAAATTAGATGCTTGCTCTAGTATCTTCTTCCTTTTTGATGCTGCAAAAATCCACTTCGTCTTGTTTTTTAAACACATCTATATCCAGGCTTGCCAGCCTCTAATTTCAAAAGCAAGAGCCACAGCTCATGAATAGCACATCTGCCTTGCATGCAGAAGATCCCAGATTCAATCCCCAGCATCTTCAGGGAGGGCTGGGGGAAGCTCCCTGTTTGAAACCCTGGAGAACTGCTACCAGTCAGTGTTGACAATACTGAGCTAGATACCAACAGGTCTGACTCAGTATGATCCTAAAAGTAATGACACACTTGGAGGAGGCGAGAGGCATACCCAACACGAAACCTCCCTCTCTCATTATACCAGAACTCAGGGACATCCAATGAAGTTTGAATAAATTTTATTTGAGGATTTCCACCCCCAAACTCAGTTGTCTCAGGAGTTGTGTGGGCAGGTGAACTGTTTAAAACCAGCTATCTCTAGTTACATTTCTCGCACAAAATAAATTTTTATTTTTATATTTTTCAGTCAAACATGTTTCTGAGGCTTCGGACGCCGTACTGAAGGGCCTTCTCTCGGACTTCCTCCTGTGGTAGATTCACCCTGGTCCGAAATTCTCCAGGCGTATTCAGCAGCGTTGCATTTTGGTATCGCCAATGTCCCGCCATTTTGTTGTGGATTACTGGCTAGCGGTGCTGGAAGATGTCGACGTAGCTTCTTGACGACAAATCTGGAAGGCAGATTGCGTGCCTCCTCACCTTTTCTTCCTCCTGGCCTGGGGATTTATACGTTTATTCTCTTTCCTTCCTTTCTACCTCAAAAGCTGGTTTGAAGAAAAAAAAGTCTAAACATTTTCCAAAAGCAGTTATCAAAAATGACAAGTCTGTTCCGGCGGAGCAGCAGCAATGGCAGCTCAAGGAACGGCTCCTCTGCCCAGGAACTCAACAACAGCCGCCCCGCGAGGCAAGTCCGGCGGCTGGAATTCAACCAGGCCATGGAAGATTTCAAGACTATGTTCCCCAACATGGATTATGACATCATTGAATGTGTCTTGAGGGCGAACAATGGCGCAGTGGATGCCACCATTGACCAGCTATTGCAGATGAACTTAGACGGCAGCGGGTATGATGACAGCTCGGATTCAGATGACAGTATTCCTCCTGAGGTAAACCTCACTGCGTTGTGGAGGCCGTCCGCAAAACGCCCTCTGGTGGACCCCTCCTTATGCTTGCGTGCCATGCATACCCAACATGGCGGTGCTTCTTTGATTGCTGCTGGGTGTCCTCTGTTTTTACTGCCCATAATGGCTGTGGGGCATTATGGGAAGTGAAAATGGCGGCTGCCCAGCCCAGCAGTGAATACTGGGGGGAATGGGGGAATCCAATGAAAGGTGCCAAGGCTGGTGCCAGAAATGATGCTTTGTGGTGAAACCAGGCCTGGGTGTTTACTAGCTGATGTTCCAGGGGTCGGCTGTTTTCCTTGTGTGGAGAAAATAAAACCAGAGGATTTCGGGGAGCAGGGAACTATGGAGTCAACAAACTGGACTGTGATTGCTGAGGTGGTGGTTGTATTTTATACTACGCTTTGTCATGCTGCTTTGTTTCTAATCAGTGAATATGCTGTAACTTGCTGCGGAAAGCCTGAAAATTTTTAGACCCCAAATGTTCTGGTTCTTTCCCCTCCCAAAATTTGCTGCATTAATGCCATGTGGTAGCATTGGAGAAGCATTGTGGAATGACTGATAGAGCGGAATAAACCCGCCACTAAATGTGCTGTTGCTGCGTGAGGATCGTATTACTTTATAAGTCTGTGTTTTGCACTCTACTCCATTTTAAGCCATTTGTTGTTTTCTTCTAGTTTTTAGGATTTCTTTTTTAAAAATTGAATGTTGTGGGTTTTTTTCTCTCCCTCTGTTTTTATATAGATAGCTTAGCAGTTTGAAGTGTATATAGCAGTACAGTGGTACCTCGGGTTACATACGCTTCAGGTTACACACTCCGCTAACCTAGAAATAGTGCTTCAGGTTAAGAACTTTGCTTCAGGATAAGAACAGAAATCGGGCTCTGGCAGCGCGGCGGCAGCGGGAGGCCCCATTAGCTAAGTGGTGCTTCAGGTTAAGAACAGTTTCGGGTTAAGTACGGACCTCTGGAACAAATTAAGTACTTAACCCGAGGTACCACTGTATATATTTAAAATAAATAAATACACTAGTCCAGTGTTTCCCAAACTTTTTTGGGCAACGGCACACCTGTTTACTGAAAAAAAATCTCACGGCACACCACCATTAAAGCCCCGCCCCGTGACGTCAGCGCGCAGCGTCACGCCAGGAGGGACGCACGAAAGTGAAAGTTTTTTCCCTCCCCCTTGCCGGGGAACCTCCAAGCTTTGGGGGTGGGAGGAGGCAGCAGAGCGAGGGACTGAGGGACGGCGGCAACTGAGGCGGCGGCTGTTGTGGTGGTGGCGGCGATAGCGGGCGGAGGAGGGGGCGGCGGCGGGGCTTGAGGAGCCGTCGCCGGGAGTTGCTGCTGCTGCTGTTGCTGCTGCTGCTGCCCGGACATGCCGGCCTCCTCCTCCTCCGCTGTGCCGCGGAACACCGGTTGGGAAACACTGCACTAGTCCCTCCTGCCCTGCCCTGTCCCATGTTTTGGATTACAACTCCCATCAGCCTGAACCGGGACAGAAAAATTCTATAAAAATATAAGATGAACAGTGCTGGATCAGGCCAGTGGCCCATCCAGTGCAACATCCTATAATTGCAGTGGCAACCAGATGCAAGTGGAAAGCTCTCAAGCACGATCTGTGCACAGGAGCACTCTCCCGTCTTGTGGTTTCCAGCAACTGGTATTCTGAAGCATAACCAGCCAGGATGAATTTGTCTAGTCCTCTTTTGAGGTCCATCCAATTTGGCGTCCATCACTTCCTCCTTCAGGAGCAAGTTCCATAGTTTAACTCTGCACTGCATGAAAAAGTCTATTATCCTGAATGCTCCAACATTCAGCTTCATTGGCCGCCCACGAGCCCCAAACACTACGGCAACCTTTCTTCATAAGGGCTCCATCCCCTTGGTCATTTTGGTTGCCCTTCCCTGAGCCTTTTCCAACACTACAATATCTTTTTTGAGGTGAGGCGCCCATTCCAAATGTGGTCACACCATGGATTGGTATAACAGCATTAGGATATTGGGTTCCTTTTCATACTGGGTCAGTGTCCTTCATTGAGCTCTCTACTGAGACTGACTACAACAGGCATATGTAGACTCAGCCCTCCAGATGTTTTGGGACTACAACTCCCATCATCCCTACCTAACAGGACCAGTGGTCAGGGATGATGGGAGTTGTAGTCCCAAAACAGCTGGAGGGCCGAGTTTGCCTATGCCTGGACTGCAAGGTCTCCTGTTCCTGGTCAGCCACTGCCAGTTCAGGCCACACACAGGTTTACGGGTTTGGGGCTCTCCTGTGAATAAATAAGGAGCACGAGAGTTATAGGGCATTAAAGGATAACATCTCCCGCCCCCATGCGGACCTTAAGAATGGCAGTAGGAAAAACTATGTGCAAGAGCTTTGCTGTGCAGAAAAAGACAAGGGGTGGGGGAGAGAAAGGGGTGGATGACAACATCAGAGCAGCCACGGTGAGATGAAGCCAACGGCCTCACATTCTTTCAAAGCAGATCTGACAAGGGCAGGCTGTGTGTCGCGCTTGGTTAGAGGGACAACTGCAAGCGGGTTTCGTGTTGCGTGAATAGCTCCTCGACTATTTGCGGATTTGAAAACATCCTGGCAAGATGATAGCACATGCTCCGTGCTCCAAGGCTGCCAGGATCTCGGTGGAGTTGAAACACTTCCCCCCCCTCTAGTAGCGGGAGACGTCAGGTGTGGAGGGGCACGTCCTGCCTTGGGGTGACTTAAGGCCAAGCGGCCGGTTGTCTGCACAGTCTTGGAGTTCCCCCAGGGGTCTACCCGACTCACGGCCCTCGCAAGATGCATTCAGCCCACCAGCTGGGCACAGCGGGGCCTCCAGAGGGCAATGGGAGCCTGGTTGTGTCGCGTGTTTGAGGCTGCAGAAGCAGAGGCGGCTGTGAAGCACCTGTTAGTCCCTGAAAGGTGGCTTTTGAAGTGTATTTAGCTGTGTGGCGTCATAAGATGCTTAGCCTTGCTCTACTGCAGTGCTTCCCAAACTTGGGTCTCCAGCTGTTTTTGGACTACAACTCCCATCATCCCTAGCTAGCAGGGCCAGTGGTCAGGGGTGATGGGAGTTGTAGTCCAAAAACAGCTGGCGACCCAAGTTTGGAAAGCACTGCTCTACAGGCAGGGAGCCTCAGGTGCGTGAAGCAGAGGTGTGAAGCAGGGCCCGTGAGTGGTGAGGGCCGAGGAGAGTTCTGGGGGCCAGGTAGAATGTATGGAGGGCAACTGCATTGGAATGCTGATGAATTGTCATGAAAAAGAAAAAAACTTGCAAATTGCTGCAGAAATGTGGAGAGTGAATTTAGGGTTGGAAAAATGAGAGGCTGAGTGGACGGAAAGTTCTTCCATGACTTGTCCCTTGCTGCCCCCTCCCTTAACCCCCATTTGCTACTTTTAACCTTCAGCTCCTTCTGCAGATCTTTTGAGTTCATTTTCCTTTGGCCTTCTGCTGTCTCAGTTCCCACTTCCCCTGCTCTTCATCTTACAGAGTCGCCAGTAGCTTTTTAGAACAACAACAAATTAAGAGCTGCCTTCTTTTAGTGAAAGCGAGGAAGCCACAGCCATGAGACCTCAGTGGGGATGCCATACAATTTGGTCAGAAATGGGAACATAAATTGCCACAATTTATATATTTTTTCACCTCATGTCGGGAACAGTATTTATGGTTGTATTTTTAGTCTGAAAACCTTATGGAAAGGATTGTGTTACTGCTTGTATTGTTTTTGACATTGTCCTTCTGCTGAAATGCATTAATATGAATTATGATATCAATTGCACAAGTTTTGGCCCTAGCAGATAGAGAAGCAGGTCTTAGCAAAAGTCAAACTGTAGCAGAACAGAAACGCTGCTGATTGCAGTGAGCACAATCACTGCCTCCTTTACATCCCTAGTCCTCACCGTTTCTGCACTTCTCGGATCTCTGTAATGTGCAAAGCCGTTATAAATTCTGTCTCCTTCTGCCTCTCTCATTGGATTCAGATCTTGGAACGGACTCTAGAACCTGACAGTTCAGATGAAGAGCCGCCTCCGGTTTACTCTCCCCCCTCCTACGACATGCACGTGTTTGACAGACAGTACCCACAGGCTCCCCCGACACCACCCCCCAGGTAAGCAGGCTAAACTCTTATTGGGAGTTCACAAAATTCTAATGCATTTTGTTCAGCAATCAGGCGATTTGCACGAGCTGTCCGTCTGAGGCATAAAGTGCATTGCCTTGCAGGCCTAAGAGCGGAGTGAAAAATAGCTGAATCCTCAATATCTGGCCCACTAATCCAGTCTTGCAATTAAGCACTAGCCTGGTAGCCATAGGCAACCAGGAATTTCATGTAAACAAGTGACCAGGCTGGCAGAGGAGGAATGGAATATTCCATTCTTCCTCTGTGCGTGCCACAGAAACCAAGCAGAGCGAAGCCCCCCTCCTCTGCACACAGTCCGTGGAGATTAGGAGAGCAGGGCAGGATGTTAGAAGCAGGGGTTTCATCACCAGCTGGAGATCACAGGCCTTTGGAAGCTACTCCCCTCCCGCCCCATCTTCAGCTAAAAGCAAGCTGCTAAGAGGATGCTTCAATGCAGGGACTCTCTTGGGCTGTGTGGAACCGGCTGCTGTTTGCATCTCGGGATGATGGAGGATTCCCACGCAAACAGAAACTGCTGCAGTTCATGTTTCCGTCTGTAGCCAGGAACGGAAATAATGCAGTTATTATACAAACCTATGGTGCGGCCCTATTTGGAATATTGTTCTCAGTTGTGGTTGCCTCACTTCAAAAACGGTATTGTGGACTTGCAAAAAGGGTTCAGAAACCAGAAAACGATCAAGGGGGTGATCCCCTTTTGGGTCTTTTTAGTTTGGAGGAAAGGTGAGTAAGAGGTGACATGATGCAAGTTCATAAAATGATACATGGCATGGAGCAACTAGATAGAGAAAGGTTCCCCCCCCCCCCTCTCATCAAACTAGAATCCACTGAAGCTGAACGCTGGAACATTCAGGACAAATAAAGGAAAGTTCTTGTTCATGCAGCACAGTGTTAAACTATGGTAGAAGAAGGAGAGAAGAAGAGTTTGGATTTGATATCCCGCCTTTCACTCCCTTTAAGGAGTCTCAAAGCGGCTAACATTCTCCTTTCCCTTCCTCCCCCACAACAAACACTCTGTGAGGTGAGTGGGGCTGAGAGACTTCAAAGAAGTGTGACTGGCCCAAGGTCACCCAGCAGCTGCAGGTGGAGGAGCGGAGACGCGAACCCGGTTCCCCAGATTAGGAGACTACTGCCCTTAACCACTACACCACACTGGCTCTCACCAGTGTACTCCCTCCCACAGGAGGGACTGGTGGCCACCAACTTGGATGGCTTTAAAAGAGGATTAGACAAATTGGTAGAGGAGGAGGGAGGCTATCAGTGGCTACAAGCCATGCTGGCTACACTCTGTCTCCACCATCAGAAGCAAGAATGCTTCTGAAAACCAGTTGCTGGAAACCACAGGAGGAGACAGTGCTTTTTTACTTGGGTCCTGCTCGACCATTTCCCACAGGCATCTGGCTGGCCACTGTGAGAACAGGATGGTGGACTAGATGAGCCACTGGCCAGATCCAGCATGCTCTTCTTACGAGCCAAGCCAATGTGATCTGCGTTCCTCCCCACAGTGCTGTTTTTAAGTCCCCAAACAATATGTAATTAATGACTTTGTTTCAGCACATTGTGACATTTCCTTTACCTTGAAATAAGTGCCAAGTTAAAAAGCAGACAGTGAGATGGAATAATGTAGTATTTAGCAGAAACTGAACTGCAGAGGAACAGAAACATTGCTGATCTTTATGGATACAGGACAGAATGGAAACCACTGCCTTCTGACACCCCATTTTGCATCCTGATATCCAAGGTGAGGGGCAGCACAGCTCTCATCTGTAAAGCAATTGGGGGGAGAGAGGTTTGAGCCCCAATTTGAGGAAGGGCTGAGCCCCTGGCCCACTTTGGCTTGGGATCGCTTCCCGATTTGAGGAGGCGTGTTTGCATCCTTGACAGCATCTCCACCCCCAGCTTCAATTACCTGCTCACTACCCTCTCTTTTTAAAAACCCTGTCCTAATGAAGACACTACCCTGTGTATACAGTCATAATTGCCTCTTGCCGCCCTCTCTGACTTTCATGCTCCAATGAAGGGGCCGTGAAGGGGAATTCCCAGTGTTGAGACGCTCGGTTATTAGCAGCTGCGAGCCGAGCCAAGATCTGAAATATAGCAGAGCCTGGGTCCCTGTGGCGTTCTTTCCTCATTTTTTCCTCTCCTTCTTTGGCTTTGAGCCCTCTTCCACGAGTTGGCCTCCCTCGTGTGTGCCAGTTAAGGGAGCCTCGGCTACTTTCCTCTCCCTTCTCTCGAAATCCTGGCACAGCAGAGAGACCAGATCGCGATGGGTGTTCTCAGACTCCTGCTTCGGCCTTCAGAGTTTGTTGAGTTTCTTTTCATAGAACCATAGTTGGAAGGGACCCAAAGCACCATCTAGTCCGACCTCCTGCAATTCATTGTGTGGAGATTTTCCTTCCACAAAGAACCAAGGACCCTGTTTTTTTGGGGTTTTTTGCAGGTGCATTCTGCAACTTGCTGCTGACACAAACAATAATAGTCTGCCACTTAGGTCTTCAACCAGTGGGTCAGGACAAAGCGTTTGCCACCATGTTGGTGTCTAGATAAAGCTTGCCAGAGCACTCGATGACGTGTCTGGGCTAGACGTAAATGTCTGATGCGACACTCATTTTATCAATTTCTATGAGTGCTGTGTTGTGGCAAAGGAAAGGCATGAGCCATAGAGAACTCCCTCACTGAGGGCGTAGTCACAGGAAAGTGGGGGATATGACTGATAAGAAATACGTATCTTATTGGAAGTCATATCCCCCACTTTCCTGTGACTACGCCCTCAGTGAGGGAGTTCTCTATGGAGCAAGGGCACTCGGTTCACTTTCTAGTCTGCTCCTGTGGCTTTTCGAGACTCCTCGTAAAATGGAATTTTGCTTGGAACGCTGTGAGTTAAACCACAGAGCCTAGGACTTGCCGAACAGAAGGTCGGTGGTTCGAATCCCCGTAACGGGGTGAGCTCCCGTTGCTCGGTCCCTGCTCCTGCCAACCTAGCAGTTCGAAAGCACGTCAAAGTGCAAGTAGATAAATAGGTGCCGCTCCGGCGGGAAGGTAAACGGCGTTTCCGTGCGCTGCTCTGGTTCGCCAGAAGCGGCTTAGTCATGCTGGCCATGTGACCCGGAAGCTGTACGCCGGCTCCCTCGGCCAACAAAGCGAGATGAGTGCCACAACCCAAGAGTCGACCACAACTGGACCTAATGGTCAGGGGTCCCTTTACCTTTACCTTTAGCGTGCAGAAGTGTCAGCTGTGGTGAGGCAGCTTGGTTGCCATCATAGCTGCAGTGGCAGCCCAGGAAGTGACAGCAAGAGTCTGGCGGCTGCAGGAGGTTAGAATTTCTGGAGGGAGAAGGGCTGCCATGTTTGTTTATTTATTTATTTTTCATTCATTTAATTTCTATACCACTTCATATTAAATAAAAAAATAAAAAAATATCAAAGCGGCCTACAATCTACATTAAAACATCAAATAAAACAGTCCAGAATTAAACGTTGTGAAAGAAAGTCAGATATAAAGTATACATTCAAAGCAGCATAATCAATGGGAGACTAAAATAGTATCTTAAAAGATTTCAGAAGGAAACATTACAAAGGAGGTCAAGTGCAGAATGCACATGTAAAGCAGCGAAGTTAACTCCCCCCCCATTAATCTCAACATTTCAAATGAAAACCTTACTAATGGAAATCAAATATAAAACACATATTTAAAATAGCATAATTAGCAAGAGACTAAAAATGTTTTCTTACAGCTGTTGCTGTCCTGCCAGTGGTGGTACATGGCTGGTGGAAGATCAGGCTTCAATGACCTGGGTCTGCACTAAGAGACAGCCAGGATGTCTCTGGCCACAGCTTCAGCTTTTGTAGCTGGAGTCAGTCCGGGCCTCGCCCTCCCAGGCCAGGTGGGAAAAGGCCTGCAAGGCAGGGAGCACATCATCCAGGACTCACAGCCAAGATGGTCATCCTCACTCCTCTCCCTGCAACTTGAAATTTGGTTGGGTCAGGGGAAATCCGGTAGGAGCACAGGAAGCTGCCTTCTTCCAAGTCAAGACCACTGGTCCATCTAGTTCTGTATTGTCTACACTGACTGGCAGCAGATCTCTGGTGTTTCAGGGAAATCTCCTACCTGGAGATGCCCCACAAGGGTTGGGCCTGGGGACTTCTGTGTGCAGAGCAGATGCTCTTATAGTCTACTACTAGGTTTCAAAGCTTTGCCTTAATATGCCTCCCCCCTGCTGTTGACCCTGCAGGAATGATATCCAGAATTCCAGTGGCCCCCAAGCGCAAAGGCGGTACCGGAACTGGAATCCACCGTTGCTAGGCAACCTTCCTGATGACTTCCTTCGCATCTTACCCCAGCAAATGGAAAAGGTGCAGGTAGGGTGGATAGAACTTTCTATATTTGGGCTATGAGTTCAAAATATCGACAAGGTCCGTTCGGTGTTTCAGCCTTTCAGGGCATTAGATAGCTCAGCAACTTGGGATTGTGTGTGTATGTGTGTGTGTGTTGCCACAAGCTCTTGAACCACACTTCAGCTCTCCTCAATTTGCATATAGGTCCCTTAATAGGTCAGGTACCACCCGCTGAACAATATAAATGCTTCTGGGACATTCTTGTTCCCTGATCTCAGCAACTTAGGAGTCATAGAATTGTAGAGTTGGGAGGTACCAAAAGGGTCATCTAGTCCAACCCCCTGCAATGCAGGAATCTTTCACCCAAGGTGGAGCTCGAACCCATGACCCATGACGCTGAGATCTCATGAGTCTCATGCTCTACCACCCGAGCTATCCCGCAGGTCCTTGCTGCTTCCTGCCGGCCTCCATTGCCTTCCCCCTCTTCTGCCTTCTCCATCCTGCCCTGCTTGACCCAGAAGTAGCTGTGTCTGACACTGACATGCCTCCAGTCGTAGAAGTCCCTTTTCCTGCCCTTTTGGGTTAGTTTTAGGAGCAGGGTTCAGATCTAAGCTTCAGGTAACGCATTCAATATTATACGTAATCATAGCACCCCGGGGGGGATTTTATTACTTGTAACCGTTCCAGATCAGATTGGATGGCAACCGTGTGAACCTGATCTTTAAAAGATCTGTTTCAACGAAGGAGGATTCAGGAGAGAGGAGAACTCCCAAGGAAAACCAATAATGTTGAATGTAGTGTGCAAGCCTTTAGAGGCGGCTTCCTGAACCTCAGCCCTCTAGATGTTTTTGGCCTACAACTCCCATGATCCCTAGCTAGAAGGACCAGTGGTCAGGGATGATGGGAATTGTAGTCTCAAAACATCTGGAGGGCCGAGGTTGAAGAAGCCTGCTTTAGAGGCAGGCAAGTTGTTGCTATGGTTGTTGTTTTTTATTTACTGCATTTATATACCACCCTTTTCTCCAAGGAGCCGTACATTGATCTCTCTGCCCCCACTTTATCATCACAACAACCCTGTGAGCTAGGTTAGGCTGAGAGGCAACAACTGGCCCAAGGTTGCCCTGTGAGCTTCATGGCTGAGTGGGGATTAGAACCCTGATCTCCCAGGACCTAGTCCAACACTCTAACCATTACGCCACACTGAGATCAAAAGCTGAGCCTTTTCATTTGCCCCAAGAGAGACAGTTTAGGTGGTGCTGTGTTTGGAAGAGAGGAGACTTGTGGGTTTAGGGCCAAGCTGGGCATCCAGTATCAGATGCCCGCCTCAAAATGTAGGCTCCCACTAAGCATCTAAAAAGCGTTAAGTTTGGAGTGTATGATTTGGAGAGGAAATGCCGTGGGCAAGAGAACAACACTTTACCCTGTTTCCTGCATTCCTCTCCCCCAGTCCCCCCCCCCCCGACCAAATCACACACTCCCAGTCCTACTTCTTAGAGTATGCAGAGATCTGGTTCTCCACTGAACATCTAGTTTCGTTTATTATGTGGACTGAAAAATGAAGCCTTGTGGATTTGAGTCCTCAGAGTGACAGCTTCGTGTGTTATGTTTTGGGGGAGGGCAGGTAAAGGTGTACACCTAAGATTTTTTTTTAAGTGTCTATTTAAAAGAAAGTATGAATGCTGCAAACCTAGGTTAGCAAAATGCATGCATCATACAGGTGCAGCCATATTGGGGGGGGGGGCTGGGTCTGATGGGTTGGGGCTCTGGGCTCTGGGTCACTGTGGTGGTCATGAGTTTGCTGCCCTGTGAAGCCGGCAGTCCCTAGCCATTCCTTCTCTCTCTATACGCAAATGCCACCTCCAGAGTCCGCAAAGCTGCCACCAAAAAACAGCAAGCCCAGGAAGCCAGAGGGCCCACGGCTCATTGGACCAGGAGAGGAAGTGGAAGCAGTATCTAGAAGATGAGCGGATTGCGCTCGTCCTGCAGAATGAGGAGTTTATGAAGGAGCTGCAGAGGAACCGGGATTTCCTCCTGGCCCTTGAGAGAGGTAATGGCATATTTCAGAATCTTATGGTGCTCTGTTTGTTTGTTTCTTTGTTTTTTGGTAGGAATGTGGGTTTGCTTTTAGCCAACCAATTTTATGAACAGTCCCCCGCCCCATTTTATTTACCGTATTTTTCGCTCTCTAAGACGCACCAGACCACAAGATGCACCTAGTTTTTGGAGGAGGAAAACAAGAAAAAAAAACATTCTGAATCTCAGAAGCCAGAACAGCAAGAGGGATCGCTGCGCAGTGAAAGCAGCGATCCCTCTTGCTGTTCTGGCTTCTGGGATAGCTGTGCAGCCTGCATTCGCTCCATAAGACGCACACACATTTCCCTTACTTTTTAGGAGGGAAAAAGTCTTATAGAGCAAAAAATACGGTATGTTTTTATTGCTGTTGTCGTTTTTGTACGGTGTGCTCTGCTGTATTTTTTAGGAAACTGAGGTGTTTTATATATATGATGACACACATAAAAGAACATTCTCAACACAAAGTCTTATCTGAGGAAGAGCAGCAAAAGCCTATCAGTATAGAAAGGTCTTGACCTGGCATAGGCAAACTTGGCCCTCCAGATGTTTTGGGACTACAATTCCCATCATCCCTGACCACTGGTCCTGGTAGCTAGGGATCATGGGAGTTGTAGTCCCAAAACATCTGGAGGGCTGAGTTTGCCTGTGCCTGGTCTTGACTGACCAATGGCAATGGCAGAGAGTTGGCCATTTGAATCTCAAGCAGCAAGGAATTACATTGAGGTTTGACCTGAATGTAAGGCAGCAGTCTTCCACTGATCTATGGTGCCTGAATGGAAATCAAGCCCAGACCACAGCAGGGAAAGTGCCAAATCCTGACCACTTGACTGCCAGTTTGTGACACTCATGCATTTCCTTCTCTTACTTTTTTGGTCGCCATCTAGATCGATTGAAGTATGAGTCGAAGAAATCCAAGATGAGCAGCGTTGCCCTCACTAATGATGTTGCTTTCACCTCTGTAATATCAGGTATTACCCCCCAATAGTTTCCCCCCCCTAAAGGACAGATGTTAGCTGCCAGAACGTGAGGGTGCAAATCCAGTAAAAAATTATTCCAGTTCAATCAGTACTTAGGTTACTTTGACTTTGCAGGTGTGGCCAATGACTGGCTAAAGGTCACTCAGAGAGCTTTGTCTCCATATAAGAATTTGAACCTGAGTCCCCCCCCCCAGGCCTTGTTTTACACCAACAGTTAAGCTGTGTATGGGGAAGCTTTCTTTTGACCATTTGGCACGTTTTGAATTTTGAGAGAGTGCTGGGGATGCCAGTCACAAAATGGCTGCTATTGGGGGGGGGGCGTGGCATAACACAAAATGGCTGCCGATGGTAACACAGAATTAGACAGTCACTCATGACAAATTTAGGCTTGCCATGAGAAGTCAGCTTTGTCCTGCTGGTCCAGATCGTGGAGATCACGCAGTATTGATTTTACACATGCACATACATTTTCTTGCTGTCTGATATTGTAGCCTTATGAGGCTTTGCCCTCGGGTGGGAAAAATATTGCGCCTGGGAAAGGGAAGTGGGAGTCAACAGACACTCAAGGAATAGTTTCGGAGAAAAGGCTTTTATTTCTACCATCCATGAACTGGTAGAAGGAGCAAGTGTGATAAGTCACAAAAAGTATGCACCAGTTCACAATCATGTGCACAAACATATATGCCCCTTCCAGATCCGTCCCCCTTCTTCCAGAGTCCTGCCCCTGAGTTCCTCTGAGCATGAACAGAAAGCTGTCTTGGGACTATTTTGGACTCTTCCCAGGAAAGGGGGAATGAGAGCGGTTCAGCATGTCCAAAGATGTTGCAACTGAATGAGATAAGATTCGTTTCTCAGGCCTGCTATGAACAGAGCCTATTCATTAGCCTTTAAAAGTAACATTTTGCCTATGCACAGCATCTTGTGATAGAGCAGAGGAGAGCAGAGAAAAGCTGTTTTGGATTTTTAGAAGACAAAAGGAGTTTTGGACAGTTTTGAGGCCTGGTGTGATTTCACAGACAGGATTTGGGTATCCTGTCCCTTCAATATAACAGGAAGCGTTCTTCTTCAGCAGCAGAAATAAACCACACCATGTGGACTCTTCTTTAACAGAAATAGCTCAGAAGAACCTGCACCTTTTGCACCAAAACTTCCTTTTTAGGAAGACTAGAGACTTCTTTTTTTTTAATGAAAGCTCAGCATTGGGGATCTTGCCCCAGGGCAACAGTGAGAGCCTCCACGGGCATCAGTTGCACCCATAGATGCCAGGTTGGGCATGCCTGGTTTAGTATGTCTGGGGCAAATAGCTGGTGTGACGCGACAAACAGCTTCTGGAATATGTTTTCAACTCTTGCCCTGTACATTTGCAAGGAAATGCTCATAAGTATCCTTTTGCTTTGGACTGTTGGGTCAGGACTTAGTCTTCCCTGCCCCTCCCCCCCCACTCCAGATCCTCCCCCATCCCATGAGGAATGGGCACAAAATGGTGTGCAACCTGCTCTGGTCCCCAGTCATAGTAAGCACGGATTCCTCCTTCCTTTTCATCTTTGAACAAAGGGGATATTGCCTCGCTGGCAGAACGAGGAAATAATCCTGCTTAACCTTCACTACCCGAGCCGAGCAGCAGCCTCGGAGGAGGGAATTAGAGCCACTGTCTGTCGCTATCACATGAAAACCGTGGAACCGTCCGGGGCCTAGCCGAGTATTATAAAGAGACTGCTTTGGCTGAGGATGCTAACGGCAACTGATGCTACGCTGCAGGCAGTGGCATCTGAGCAAATGGGGCAGTGCCCCACCAAGCTCAGTCTGTCCCCTTCCCATGCCTTATCGCTTACAACTAGTCTGTGGGGCGGCCCTGCCTGCCACCTTCCTCCTCCTTAGTCTCCGAGTTGCCCCTTTAAGAACTCAGCAGGAAGATGGAGGCAAAACTAGAAGGAGCCGGCTCTACCTGTCATTGTCTCTGGCGCCACCTGCTGTTGGGCTCCCTACTTTCTGCCCTACCAATTCCCAGAGGGCACCAGCCACCAATGGATTCAGGGGCAAAATGCTGGAAAAGGCTGTTTAAGAGGATTGGGGCATTCTGGGCATGCCCCACTGTCAGACCTCACAAGAGCCAAATTTGGTGCTAAATGCCGAAGAGTTGCAAAGAGACGCTCTCTGGTTCTTTAATTATTTACTATTAAATTCCTAGTCCTTAAGGCTGTAAATACTGCACTGCATGATCTGGAGAAAAATGGACAAATATAGTTTCCTCCCCTCTCATGCAGAATTCAGCAGCCAGGCTGCTCACTGGGACAAGTCGATTGCAGATATAGCACCAATCCTAGCTCAACTTCACTGGCCGGCAGTTAGTTTCCAGGCCCAATTCTATGTGCTGGTTTTGACCTATGAAGCCTTAAACAGCTCAGGACCGCAATACCTCAGGGACCGCCTCTCCCCACATGAACCAACCCGGATCCTGCAATCATCATCTGAGGCCCTTCTTCATGTGCCTCCTCCATGTGAGGGTGGCAACATGAGAATGGGCCTTTTCTGTGGTGGCTCCCTCCTTGTGGAATGCTCTCCCTAGGGAGGTTCACCAGGCGCCTTCATTACCTATATTTAGGCACCAGGCAAAAACATTCCTCTTCACCCAGGCCCTTGGCTAATTAGACAATATATGTCCTTTCAAACGGGGGGGTGTGTGTGTGCCGGGGTGTGTGTTGTTTTTTGTTACTACGTTACGTATTTTTGTGTTTTATATCGCAAACCACCCTATGATCCTTGGATGAAGGGCAGTGCAGAAATTTAACGAGAATCATAATAAATGGCAACATGCCTAACATGTTTAATCCCCTCCCGTTTTTCAAAATGCACACGATTGGCTTTCCAGCCACAATACCCCCGACTTTTAGCATTTTGTCTTAACTGCCCTCTAAAAAAAACCTTGAAAATTCGCCTCTGTTTCCTCAGCGTTGCGTTTTAATCCCGAGTTTGTTTTGCCTTCCAGACGATGTAGCTCGCTCCAGTGGTGCCGTCTCCGATGATGCCTTATTCAGGGACAAATTAAAACACATGGGGAAATGTGAGTTGTGTCATGGTGGGCAGCATGGCTGGATTTGGAGCTGCGGTGGGATTTCCCCCACCGCCCTTCATGAGTGAATGTATTGTAAATGCTGCGCTGAATTACTTTGACAGTATATGGGAATCTTAATACCTGCCTGTAACTGACTCGAGTTTTGGGGAGGGTGCATGTGACCCTTGCAGTATACAATGTGGGCAGGAGCTTTTGCCAGCACAGAGGGGTGAATGGGGATGACTGCACAGTCAGCTCTGATCCATTTTCCTGGCCTGCCACATTTGGCCCCTGGGTGGTGCAGGCGGATGTATGCCTTTACCAGGGACTCCTCATTCTTCTCATTCTGTAGTCAGGGATATGGATACATTCTGCAATGTGCAGAAAGCTGGGTGCGGAATTCAGTATCCCGAGAAAATCACGTCTTTTATTTTAAACAGGTTCCCAGTCCTTAAGGCTAGAACCCTGACCCTAATTTCAAAAGCCAGAGCGAGTAGGGTTTCCAGTGGTCTTTGATTTAACAATCCCTAGAGATACTGCATGGTTACATCCTCTTTCTCCTTTAAAAAAACAACAACAAACCTTTATTTCCACACACCCCTTCCAGCTACACGCAAGAAGCTCTTTGAACTTGCCAGGGCTTTCTCAGAGAAGACCAAAATGAGGAAATCGAAAAGAAAACAGTTGTTGAAGCATCAAGTGTATCCTTCCACGTGAAGTCTTGCTATTGTGTCTTGAGGGTGCTAAATTCCCTGCAGTTCCGAGCACATTTAAAGTACATGGTTTTCCCCAAAGAACCCTGGAAAAGTGTACTTTTACCCCCACAGCTACAGTTCCCATGGTTCTTTGGGGAAAACCATGTGCATAAAATATGCTTTAAATGTTTGATGTGCATGTGACCCTCAGAACCCACCCCCCTTGCATTCTAGTGTGAGGTTGGCCATGCCAGCCAAGCTATGTTGCTGGCACAGAGCTGGCTTTCTGCACTCAAGTTCCTTGTGGCATGGCCCAGGGGTCAAGAGGGGCCTCCCTTTGGGTTTTCTCCACTGTCCATGCCTACCCCAAGAGCAACCAGTGAGCTTTGTGCTTGCGCAGGGAGTTGAACTTTCTCCTCCTCCAACTTGCGAGTCACCGTGCTAAATCCCTGTGCTGTGTTAGACTTCAGCAGCTCAGCTGAAAATGTAATAGACCTAGATTTACAACACTCTTTGCTTACAGATAGGTAGCCGTGTTGGTCTGCCATAGTCAAAACAAAAAAAATTCCTTCCAGTAGCACCTTAAAGACCAACTAAGTTAGTTCTTGGTATGAGCTTTCGTGTGCATGCACACTTCTTCAGATACACTGAAACAGAAGTTGCCAGATCCTTCTATATAGTGAGAAGGTGGGGAGGGGTATTACTCAGAAGGGTGGTGGGAATGGGTGATTGGCAGATAGCTGTGATGAGCCTGTTGACGGCTCTTAACGACTGCAGTAGGTCTTACAGGAAAAAGCAAGGGGTGAGAAGGTGAAAAATGGCTTTGTCATGTATAATGAGATAAGAATCCAATGTCTTTGTTCAGACCAGGTCTCTCCATGGTTTTAAGTTTGGTAATGAGTTGCAATTCAGCAGCTTCTCTTTCCAGTCTATTTCTGAAATTCCTTTGTAGTAAAACAGCTACTTTGAAATCTTGTATAGAATGTCCTGGGAGATTGAAGTGTTCTCCTACTGGTTTCTCTGTCTTGTGATTCTTGATGTCAGATTTATGTCTGTTTATTCTTTGGCGTAAGGTTTGGCCTGTTTGTCCAATATAGAGAGCTGAAGGACACTGTTGGCATTTGATGGCATACACAATGTTAGACGATGAGCAATTAAATAGTCCCGAGATGGTATGTGTGATGTTGTTGGGGCCAGTAATGGTGTTGTCCGGGTGTATGTGGCAGCAAAGTTGGCATCTGGGTTTATTGCAGGCTCTGGTGCCAGTGTCCGTGTTAAGTCTGGTTGTAGTATTATTGTGGGTTAGGAGTTGTTTAAGATTGGGTGGCTGTCTGTAGGCAATGAAAGGTCTTCCTCCCGGTAAGAGTCGTCAACAGGCTCATCACAGCTATCTGCCAATCACCCATTCCCACCACCCTTCTGAGTAATACCCCTCCCCACCTTCTCACTATATAGAAGGATCTGGCAACTTCTGTTTCAGTGTATCTGAAGAAGTGTGCATGCACACGAAAGCTCATACCAAGAACTAACTTAGTTGGTCTTTAAGGTGCTACTGGAAGGAATTTTTTGTGTGTGTTAACACTCTTTGCTTGTTCTTGCTGATGTCACCATCAGCACCAGCCGCGGTTGGTGTTCACTGGCCATGGTAGGGCTGATGGCACGGAAACCAAACAGTAGGCAGAGCCAAGGAAAGGCAGGGCCTGCTCATTCTAGTTTTGTCCCCATCCTCATCCCTGCTGCATATGTCGTTGCGAACCTGCTTCTTGATCTCAGGATTACGGTATTTAAAGAGGTGGTCAGGTGCATAGAGAACAAACAGCTTTCCAAAATATATAATAGGTGATGACGATGCAGTGTGACTTGGGAATCTTTGGACTCCCAGTTGAGTTTGCAGATCACTGAGTGAAAGGCAATCTTGCATGTGTGTGCGCACACACAGAGGAACCCTAGCTTTGTCTTCTACTCTCCCGGGGCTGAGCCATAGCCATGGAAATCATGGTTCTGGAGCTCATATCATCTGAGGCCTGGCTTAGATTATGCCCTCCACATGCCATTGGTTTCCTCTTTTTTCCTCCTTAATCGCAAGTGCAGGATGGGAACAGCAGCTTCGACAGCTAATCTTCTTGATGACGTTGAAGGACATTCATGCGGTAAGACGAGAGCCCTGTTTCTAACGTGAGTGCTACCTTTGGGTTGGTCCTAGCTAAGCTCAGTGTGCTGATTTACTTGTGATCCCAGCTCATAAGGCTACTGCTTGGACTGATTCACCCATTTAAGACCCTTTCAAACTGTATATAACGATGCCTGATCCTTCATTGGTGTAGACTTCTGCATAGCTCAAAAACCTTGCCCTATATCTTCACCTGTGGAGGCTGGTCTAACACAAGATTTCCCAGTCTCCCTGCTTATTCTGTGCCCTCTCTCTCATTCGTTCTGTGGGGCCCATGTGACAGCAGCTCCACATAAGAAGAAGAGGAGGAGTTTGGATTTGATATCCCGCCTTTCACTCCCTTTAAGGAGTCTCAAAGCGGCTAACATTCTCCTTTCCCTTCCTCCCCCACAACAAACACTCTGTGAGGTGAGTGAGGCTGAGAGACTTCAGAGAAGTGTGACTGGCCCAAGGTCACCCAGCAGCTGCAGGTGGAGGAGCGGAGACGCGAACCCAGTTCCCCAGATTACGAGTCTATCACTCTTAACCACTACACCACACTGGCTCACCACATAACTTCAGAGTGAGCTGCTTCTTACCGGCAGGTTTCCATATTCTCTTGCCTTTTCCTCTGCCTTTCAGATGAAGAAGGCCAAGCAAGAAGACGACAGCTACACACAGAAGATGAAACATCAAAAGAAGCACAGTAAGGTGAAGAGTATTTGGAGATTAGGGAGAGGGATGTTGCTAGTGGTAGAGCATCTGCTTTGTATGCGGAAGGTCTTGGGTTCAATCCTGGCATCTCCATATAGAGCTGGGGAAGATTCAGTGTCTGAAAACCCTAGAGAGCCACAGGTGTTCAGTATAGACCAGGTGTGGAGAAGCTTTAGCCCTCCAGGTGTTGCTGAACTACAATGCCCATCACCCTTGACTGTCAGCCATGCTACCCGGGGATTATGGGAGGTAGTTCAACAGCATCTGGAAGACCAAAGGCAGGCTTCCTCAAACTTGGCCTTCCCGGTGTTTTGGGACTACAACTCCCATCATTCCTGACCACTGGTCCTGTTAGCTAGGGATTATGGGAGTTGTAGTCCCAAAACATCTGGAGGGCCACGTTTGCCTATGCCTGGCCAAAGGTTCCTCAAATCTAGGGTAGACAATACTGAGGTTATATGCACTTTGGGTTGGATTCCTATGCAGAACTTTTGCCTTGGGTTCAGTATTGAATATTCCATTAAAAAAAAAATGTTTCCAGAAAGTGGGTGTTCTTTTTTTCTATTTTTTTCTTTCTATTGACCCTTCCAGTTTGAGCCACTAAAATCCGTTGTCTTGGTCATATCATGGTGCTAAAGGACAGCAAGACTGGTTTCAATTCTGGTTTTGGGGTGGCACAAAAAACATCTGAAGTTTTGAATGTTTGAAGTTTTATTCTGTTTTTAATGTTCTGTTGAAAGCTGCCCAGAGTGGCTGGGGCAACCCAGCCAGATGGGCGGGGTAGAAATAATAAATTATTATTATTATTATTATTTATTAAGCTCAATTTTACTAAGCATTGAAATCTGCCCTCCTTTGCCTTCTAGATCCTGAGCTGGCCAATATATATATTTTTAAAGAAAAGGTGAATAATGGGAGAATTAGAAGATGTCAGAGAAGTACGATGGGGTCAGGTGCTTTTGTCCTCCCCTGGAGCTGTCAGATGCTTCCCGAAGCCCAAGCTTTTTATAATGCCAGGCACATGGTTGGTCCTTTCTTAGCAGCTGGGTTCGAAAACAGTTACCGGTTGGTTTTTCCTCCTCCTCCAATCTGAAGAATCACCAGCCCAAAAGGAGGAAAGAAACAGAGATCTGATTTTACAGCTGACCTGATTTTTTTTTTCTACGTCAAATCTTTGCAAACCGCAGAATGAATTTTTGAGATCTTAAGGATGGGTCAAGGACCTTTCTTTCTTTGTTATACTGTAGGGTTCAGACGTCTGAACGAAGGGCGGGGGAAGATGCCGTTCAAATATGGATTCTGGCCTGGTGTTTTTAAACCATATCTCTTTAACTAACAGGTGACCTTTCTGCAGCCACAGGATGGCCTCAGAATTTCATTGTATCATTGATGATTATCATTACATAATTATTGCTGCTAACAGAAAATAAGCCCAAATCAAGAGATTGGATGGTCAGGATGTTATAAACTTCTCTCCACGTAAAAAAAGAGAGAGAGTTTCTGCTGATTCCAACTAACAACCAGAAATGCCTCACAGTGGATTAATCCCCTGCCCTTGGTACCTGTTTATTATTATTTTTAAAGTGGGCCTCGGAATCGCCGTCGCTCCAGCTAGAAACCACTTTCATCCCGTTGCTTCAGCGTGGCCCCTCTCCTAACTATGTGTTCCTTGTATTGCTGAAAATTATGATTGGAAAATAGGATTGATGTAAAGGGTTGTATTCTGTATGTGTTTCTGTGAATAAGGCATTCTTCATGTGATGGTTGTGAAAGCCATGTGGTTTTTGTCCCATGTTGCTCAGGTGATGCTTTGAAAGCCTGGAGCCAGTCGATAAATTAAGTAGGAAGGAAGCACACAGTTGTCCTCGCACACTTAGGGACATGCTTTTGAATGCTACCTTGGTGCTTTATGACAAGGCCATGTGTGAGGGGACTCTTCACAAGAGGGTCCTGCTGGGACAGAAGTCTTTGGTTCCTCTGATACAGCGTCTGGCTGGCGTCCCCTGGAACTGGGGATGGGGGCCGAAGACAGAGAGGGCAGACTGAAGTTAGTGGGGGCAGTGCCTCGTTTGCCCTAATGGCAAATGACCCTTTGTCAGGCCCACCATGCCTGATGCTTGTGACTGCCAAGGTTTGATCTGAAACAGACACTTGCCCATTCAGAAGTGACACTGACCATAGAGATCTGAGTTGTTTTGGTGGTTTTTTAGTACCCACCCGAAGCGGTGCCAGCAGCAGAACCTGTGCCTGTTGCTTTAAATCACAGGCGGAGAATGCCCAGCCAGGCTCTAACAAGAGGGGGGGAGTGGGGGGGGGGACAACAACAACCCAAACCCTCAAAACCCTGAATGAAGGTTTGTATGTTCTCCAGCACAGAAGTGACATCAGTGCAACTTAGACAAAAGTTCAGCCTCTTGGACTCTCTCCGCAGGGCTGTTTTGTACGGGATCCAAGTTTCCAGGGAGAGTTGGGAGACAGCAGTATTGCTTAAAAAGATCCCCAAACTTGAGGGGCTGCCAGGCAGAAACGGTTCCCTTTTGGGGAGGGGAACTGGGGTAAGCAGAGAGAAAGAGAGAGAGAGAGATCCTCACGATAAGACAACCCCCCTCACCCAAAGCCGTCTTTGAGGCTAAGCATCCACTAGTTGCCAAGGAGAAACCTGGAGGGTGGCCACTGGAAATAAACAGCCAGAGAAGTAGAAAAGCCTTCCAGCCTCTCTCCCTCTCCCCCCCTTCCCCGTGGGTTCCTAGCTGAATAAGCCACCGGCTGTTCCTCTTTTGACATCTATAGCTGGACTTTCTCTCTCTCCCTCTCTCTATCTGAATGCTTGGAAAGGACTCAAGTTCTGGAATCGGATCTGCTAGTTTGAAGGCTCCATTGCTTCGTGGCTTAACTTTTTAAACTTTCCATTTTATTTTTATGACGCAGACAGAAGCCAGGGAAAAAATCTTTCTGCATGGCAATGGAGGCTGCTCCAACCTCTGTCTGTCTTCAGCCAGCCCCCCCCCAACCTGCCTGTTTACTTAAGAATAACCTGTATGGGGCAGGGAGGGGTTGGCCTGCCAGTAGCATTACCCCCTTACAGAACAGCAGGGAGGAGAGAACGAGAGCAAGACCAGAATTAGCTGGCTCTGCCTGTCATTGGCTCTGGCGCCCTCTACTGCTGGGCTCCCTGCCTTCCACCCCACCACGAAGGCAGCTTTGCGGGAAGTGTGACGGGGAAGAGGACATGTCAATGGTACTTGCCCTTCCTCAGGACACGCTGCCTGTTGTGTTTTTATCCCTCTAGCCTCCAACGGTGTAAAAAGCCATGCAGACAGCTTTCCCCAAGAGGTGGGGAAATGGCCCCACCTGTTTTGGGCGAAATGACTATACGGGATTCATGGAGTTGCTGTATTTTCTCCCTGCCAGACTTCCTGTGCCTTTTAACGCTCTAGCTGGCAGCTAGGTGAGGAAGGGGCATAGCTCAGTAGCAGAGCACCTCCAGGCAGAAGGACCCAGGTTCAGTCCCTGGCATTTCCAGGCAGGGCTGGGAATATCCCTTGTTTGAAACCTGGAAATCCTGGAGCGAGACAATCCTGAGCTACATGGACCAACAGTCTGACCTGATATGAAGCAGCTTTCTATGGCCCTAAGGTTGCAGGTGGAAAGGAGGAATGGGCCAGGGTCCTGTTGTATTACTACTCCAAAATGGGCTGTTGCAAAGTTTCACAGCCAAAGTTCCCAACAAATGTCCTTGACTCTGGGTTGGCAGTTTTTAATTTTTGCAGGGTGGATGGGTGGGAAGGGATACTTCTCAGGCAGGAGGGTGGTTTTTGCCTCGGGGGTTTCTGGCTGCTGTTCCTTACCGACTTCTGCCAGGAGGTTGTTCTTCCAGCTCTTGCTCCTTAGCAAGCTTTGCTTCTCCATCCTGCCCTCGTTGGCTTGACCAGGACTCCTTTCTCGGAGCCACGGCTCAATTGGTTCCTTCTGCCATTGCAAATTCTTTGCTTCCCTGTTGTCCTGCTTTATTTTATTTTTTACATTTAAAACCTCAGGTCAATGTGGTCGCTCCTCTCTGCCTGGCCCTTGAGACTTTTCCCCAGGCAACACCCCCTCACCAGCCTTCCTTCACACCCTACTTGGGTGTGTTTGCTTGGCTGGAACATGTCTTGCTTGCCTGGATGGAAGAGGGAGAGGAGGGGTGAGTAGAAATCTCCTGTATGAAGGTAAAATCTATACTCATTGCTCCACCTGCTTTTGCCCCTGGTCCCTGCCCACCACTGGCACGTGGCCCCTGGAAGGTTGCCAATGAGGACATGCGGCTCTTGGGTTGAAAAAGGTTCCTTGCTTCTGTTTTAAAACAAGTGCTGGCTGCCCCTTCTTGTGGTTGATTGTTTCAGCATACAAATGAGAATCTTGGGTACATTTGTTCAGCTCCCATGAAGTCCTGCAATCCTTGTGAGTCTACACAGATGAAGCCTAGGCTGTTTCAAGCAGGTGCAGGGAACCTGTGCCTTCCATATGCTGCTGAACTGCAACTCCTATCACCCCTGGCCATTGCCCATGTTTCTGGGGCTGGTGGGAGTTGTGGTTCAGCAACAACTGGAGGGCCAAAGGTTCCCCATGCCCAGCTTAGCACACCCACTCCAGATGACCCGTTTATTGAGCATTCATACTGATTTGCTTGCAATAAAGCTTATGCAGAGGTTAGACTACACTTAGCCTTTACTGAACACCCATTCTCATTTGTTTGTTTATGACAAGCATTTGTCTCAATTTGCTCGCGCAGCGTGTTTAACATCTTCCCCGCTAAGCATCTGTTTGTCCCACCGTTTCCCCATCACAACCTTAACCGCAAAAAAAGTCTGATCTTTCAAAAAGTGGGTTTGTTGCGCTCGAGCAAACAGAGCGCTCTGATCCACTGCAGTTGCATAACTCTACGCTTCTGGTACAAGCTTGAATACATTCCTGCAGAATATTGGCGGTCTGGATGCAACTGTGGCCCTGTGCAGGTGAGAAGAGGAGGTGGGGCCAGGAATGTGGGTGGGAGAAGCGTAGTTGAGTCCTCCTTGGTAGCTGGGATAGGTCTCTTAAAGAGAGGGTGGTTTCCTGGATTGGCCGGGCAAGAGCAATAAGGGATTTGCTCCTTCCATATTTTCTGGGAGTTTCATGGATGGAAGGGAGCACCTGTTTCCAACAGAGGCTCCCATATAAATAACAGCACGCACACACCCCAATGCCCGGTGAATCGGGATTAGAACCCGGGTCCTCCACTTCTTCAGGTAGCAACTCTGACATCCTTTTAAGCCTCGCACACTGAAGAATGTAGGCTACATGAGATACAGAAGTTTGGGAAGGGCTGTAGCTCAGTGATGGAACACTTGCCTTGCATGCAGAAGGTCCCATGTTCAATCCCTGACATCTCCAGGTAAGGCTGAGGACTTCCAACACAAAACCCTGCAGAAGCTGCTGCCAGTTAGTGTAGCCAATACTAAGCCAGGTGGACTGAGGATGGATTCCGTGCAAGAAAGTTCCCTATGTCGTTACTAGGTTTGGAAAGCAATTGGGGAATGGCCAAAACAGAATGGTTTTGTATTTGTGCAGGTGGGTTGAAACTTTTCAGACATTTCCTTTAGCAGCCTCTGGACATTTGGACCAACTGAGCCCATGGGGCATAGAGCCCAGGGGAATGAGGGCGAGGATGTCATTTTTAAAGAATCTAATGTAAATGCATTTTAGAGGCCGCCAAGTTGGGCTCCTAAACGAAGCTGTATTTCTCTGACCACCAAACAATGTCCTGTCCTTGGTAATGTTTGTATTCCTTTCTTTAAAAAAAAGGGGGGGTATGTTTTTGGTTTTTTTAAAGGAGACAAACCAACAAAAAGAAGAAGAGACTTCTGTGACATTTGTGAGTGTTGCTATTTTAGAATTTATTTCCATACATGATTCTTTTTCTCTCTTAAAGATGTTTAATAGTAATTCATATAATAAAGTCATGTTGTACTCTCGTAATGCTTTTGGCTTTGTGAATCTCCACTGTGGTTTGCTTATTTATTTTCAGAAAGGGGAACTCGAGGCAACTTGTTAAAACACAAACATTAAAAATAAGTGCAAAAAGCAAGGACAATGGCTCAGTTGGTAGAGCACGAGACTCTTAATCTCAGGGTTGTGGGTTTGAGCCCCGTGTTGGGCAAAAGATCCCTGTATTGAAGGGGGTTGGACTAGACTCCATAACTTAGACTGCTCATTTAGAATATGGTGCAAGAACAGATTCAAAGGTCGAGCCCACCTCCTGCATCCCAAATGTTTGGTTTTGAAGAAGGGAGACAGACATCCTTTTTAGATACAGAATGTGGGCTTTGCAGCGGCTGGTCTGTAATTAGAACAGTAGGAACCTAAATCTGGCTTACTGGTATTCTTAGGATGTCTCTCATAGACGTTTCCTGGAAATACTGGAGGTATGAGAAGACTGCTTGTTCCAGTAACCTTGGTGTAGGTGTTCCAGTGCATTAATCAAAGGGGATGATTGGGAGTGGGTGAGAATACTGTACAACGAATATGATGTGAAGTGTTACATCTGGTGACATCTGGTGGACAAATCTCGGAAGTGCTGGTAAGCTTTCAGGAAAACATGCACAGAGACCCCGAAGACTAGGCCTCAAGCCTTCCTAGGCTGTGTAAAATGATGCCAAGCTAAACTTCCTGCACTGTGCTCAGATGAAATCTTTCCTCGCCAGAACTAGGCTTGGGAAAGCCTAGTTAGTTGCATAACCCTACTCTGCATAGCACTGATTGGCTAGGACCTGTAAGGTCACAAACTTGCTGCCCACCCCCAGCGTAATTTTGCGATGCTTTCAAAAGCAATTCCCTGCTTTAAATTACAAAGGCAAACAAACCAAAACCTAGAGCAACAAATGAGCAAAGCGAAGAAACATGATTCAAGGCTTGGGAGATCTAATGTTCAGTTCCCCGCTCAGTCATGAAGCTACATGACCCTGGGACATTTGCTAGCCTACCTGTCATGAGGATAAAATGGGGTGGGAGGAGCTCATTGGAAAAAGGGTACGATAATGAATTATAAAAACCCGAATAAAACAATAATAGTCATTTTGGTGGACACCTCCTTTTCCAGCCATGCTTTCAGCCTGTTGAGGTAACCCCAGGCCTGGTGGCTATATGTCCCCCCTGGGTTTCTCTACCTGGCCCTCAGAACTTCCCTGCTCGCCACCCTTGCCTCACACCTTCCTTGAGTGTTTTTGCCTGGCTGGAATGTGTCCTTGAACTCTGAGCATGCCTTTTGCTTGCCTGGATGGAGGACAAAGAGGGCTGTGTGCAAGTGTGTGTAGAAACTAGCCTACAGTACAGTGGTACCTCGGGTTAAGTACTTAATTCGTTCCAGAGGTCCGTACATAACCTGTAACTGTTCTTAACCTGAAGCACCACTTTAGCTAATGGGGCCTCCTGCTGCTACCGCGCTGCTGGAGCACAATTTCTGTTCTCATCCTGAAGCAAAGTTCTTAACCTGAAGCAATATTTCTGGATTAGCGGAGTCTGTAACCTGAAGCGTATGTAACCCGAGGTACCACTGTACAAAGGTAACATTTACCTTTGTTGCCTCGCCCACTTTTGCCTCTGATCCTACCTACCACTACCTACAAGAAGAGATTTGCAGGGTTTCCCTTCCCTGCTCTAAAGCATGGCGTATGTCACCCAGATGTGAGGCTAATATCTGGTGATCTATTAAAGTGTGTTTTTCCGTACAAGTTTCCAAAGGGGTATACAGTTTAATCACGGATTGCAACAACCAAAACACAGTGTGTCCTAAAATATATAGCAATTTAATCACGATTCAATAAATCCTGACCAGGCTTGCACTGTGCCCTTCTAAAATGTTTTTGCCTAGCTGAAATGTTGTCCTCAGCATAGGATAATGCCTTCTGCTTGACTGGATAGAGAGGGCGGTGTTTGTTTGTTTGTTTGTTTGTTCATATTATAAACTACCCAGTGATCTTCGGATCATAAGGCAATTTAATAGTGATTTTAAAAAATACAGCAACCTCTGACTTTCCTGTGGCTGGAATGTCCCATACTGTACAGAGGTCCTTCTCTGCCCCTAGCCACAACTTCAACCTTCCTTTCTCTCTCACTGGCTGCATTCCAGCTGTGAAACTCTCCCCTCCACCCACCTAACACACACCAATCTTCAATTCAAGCAGGTGGAGTTGTATCTGGGAGTCAGCAACCAGCAGCCATCAAAAAGCCAGCAGTGCTCACTAAGCAACTGTTTTTAAAGCAATCGACGCCCATCTTTAGCAAAAGTGCTCAACAAGTCAAGCAGAGAAGGGGGAAAAAGTCCCATCCTTCCTTGACATCCGTAACAATGTCTTCCTATTACGAGATAATTGCCACAAAGTGCACATCTATTTATGTTTATGCGGGGAAACAAAGCTGACAGAAGCCTCATCAAGCCTTTCAGGTTTGGGAGCCATCTGGACTCTACGCTCGGCCATATGGTCTGAGCTTAAGGACTTTAATTTGTGTTAAGTTGCAAGGCACACCGAGCGTCTGTCCTCCTCTACTCAGATGCGTTTCTTTCCTAATGGGAAGAAGAGTGGCATTTGCCAGCATCGCTGTTCCCTCTCACTGTCGCGCTCTGGGACTAATAAGCAGCTGAAATGCCTTCTGTCCCCGTAGAACCAGTTCACGTGCCCCTTCGCGATCATGAGGAGTGTGAAACGAAGGAGAGGGAGAGACCGCGTGGGCTGGTGCCCGGTGGGGCTGAAGGGGCGGAAGGCAGGGAGCCCCACAGTGGGCGGAGACAGAGCCAAAGACAGGCAGAGCCAACTAAAGCCAGTTTGGCCCACCCACCTCCTCCTTCCCAAACTCCAAAAGAGGCAACCCCGAGGCTAAGGAGGAGGAAGACCCTGGTCTGGTTGCATGTAAGAAAGGGTGAGGTTGGCGGGGCAGTGCTCCATGGTGCAGCTTCCACTCCAAAGAGAAGATAACCAGGACCTCCGTCCCCTGCACGCCCCCCAAAGCCAGGCTGTCTGGCGCAGTGGTTCAGGTGGATGGTAGAATTGGAAGGGACCACAAGGGTCGTCTTGCTATTGAGCTGCTTTTTAATGCACTTTGAATGTTGATAGGTATACCATAGGGGTTTTGACGTGAATTTACTTTGGTTCTTTTTTATATAATAATGATTTATAACAATAATTTATTATTTATACCTCCGCCCATCTGGCTGGGTTTCCTCAGCCACTCTGGACAGCTTCCAACAAAATATTAAAAATACAATATTATTTGATATATGATTGTCCTGTCTCCGATTCCATCTGGAGAAATGGTGTGTATGGGGAGTGCCTTTTACAGCACATATGCAGTTTCTTAGGTCGAACTAAATTCTACTCCGAATGGGGGAAGCAATTTCACGCTCACGCTCCTTTACTATTAAGGTTGCAAGCCTACAAACTGTTACATGAGAGTAAGCCAACTTCCCAGTAAACATGCATGGAATTATTATTAATGATAGTCACTGCATTACCAGTTGCATATTCTATGGCTGAGCCATAATATTGCAAATGGGTTCTAGGGCAGAGATCAAAGGAAAACAGTTCTCCCCGCTCTATCATACAGAAGGCAGGCAGCGCCCTCTTCAGTCAGCCCCGCTCTTCCATCGATTGTTTCTGCCTGCCTTCGCTCATCCATACTTCTCTAGCTTCTGTTTGCAGCTGTTCATCACAAGGCTGTGAGGCGCTCGCGTCCGGCAGGCGTCTCGCGAGGCTTTGCATTTCCGGTTCCGGGTGCTGCGGGTTGCTAGGGCCTGCTCCGGGTTGCTAAGAGAGGCCTAGCTAAGGCCCGAAGGCGTTATGGCGGGGAGTAGGTTGGAGAAGCTGGGCAGCGTCTTCAGCCGGTGAGGCAAGCTTTGCGGGTCCTCCATTTAGCAGTTCGGGGGTAGGGGATGGTGAGGAGGGACTGTCGAGGTTGCAGGCTCGGGGCGGCTGGTGTAGCGGGTAAAGAAGAGTGTGGAAGTCTCGATGAACCTTTGGGCCCTGGGCTCGAAGCGAGGTGTCATAAGAGACCGCAAGAAGGGCCCTTTTGGTTGGAAACAAATGTTCTTGTAGCTCAGGTGTGTGTGGGGGGGGAAGGAACCTGCGCGCCTTTCAGATGTTGCTGGACTACAACTCCCATCATCCCCCACCATGGTCATGCTAGCTAGGGCTGATGGGAGTTGGAGTCAAATAGAAATCTGGAGTGCTACAGATCCCCCCCATTTCTGCCTTGCCCTATCTTAGACTGAGGACACTCTAACCTTGTTTTTTTTCTCTCTCCTGATTATCATATTCTTTTCTTTCTCCCTCTGTATATTCCCTTTTAAAAATACTGCAGCACAAGGGACCTGCTACGTTCAGGGGTCATTCCTGAAGCCAAGAAACCCATCTGGTTCGATGTTTACGTCGCTTTCCCTCCGCTGAGGGAGCCTGTCTATCGGGAACTTCGTCCGCAATATGGCAAGATCCAAGATGTGGTCCCCCCCATCCTGTACAAGGAGGATGAGATTAGAGCGTAAGTTCACGCCCTCACCTCTGCTACACACATTTCTGCTCTCGATCATTCATTTGCTGATTGCATCATTATATCCCACATTTTTTCTATCTCCAAGGAGCTCCAAAGTGGTGTACGCCCCCATATAATCGTCACAACAACCCTGTGAGGTAGGTTAGGCTGAGTGGGAGTGTGGCTGGTCCAAGGTCACCCAGTGAGAGCTTTGTGGCTAAGTGAGGATTTGAACCCAGGGGTGGTCTAGCAGTGAAATTGACGGACAGTAGATTCAGCATGAAGAAACAGGTGCCCTTCTTCCGGCTACAAGATATGGTGATGGCAACTAACTGAAGAGGGCTTCACCGTGGGAAGTGTTTGTTTATTTTGAAAACTACTGGTGTTTTAAAGTGCAACCAAACATATGCAATAAAAACCATGTAAATATGGTTAAAAATGGAGATCAGCTAACTATT